TTAGTATCTTGAAATTTCAACTTCGTATCTTGAAATTTCAACTTAGTCTCTTAAAATTTCTCCTTAGTATCTTGAAATTTCAACTTCGTATCTTGACATTTCAACTTAGTCTCTTAAAATTTAAAACAACAAAAAACAAATGGCCCTAAAAGGTTTCCGTAGTATACATTTACTGCATCCATACTTTACTGCTATGGTGTTGTATCATAGCGACCTATAACAGCGCAAGCCTTGACACAACCACGATCAATGATCAGTGTGAATTTAATTTACAGTTTCAGCGCCCTGCGGAGTATGTGGTTTATACAATTCAATCAAGAAATAGAATCAGTTCGCAATATTAGAGCTGCGTCAAAACAGTATGTGGCTGATAGCATCAGCAGCGACCCACCCCGGCCGGGGAGGGTGACACGCCCACTGAGCTGTGTTTTCAGTTTTCGGACGTTTGTATACTGTAAGACTCAAGGTTGTGTTGAGTTGCTTTTTATTTTGTGTTCATATGACACATCGAAAACAGTTTACTGTTTCTATGTATATCACCGCCAATACAGTTAACTCATGACAAGCGAGGGCAAAGCGTTTCCAGGTCAAAAACACACCGGCACAGGTTTTAGAAAACAAGACTAAGCCCCACTCGAAAACATCAGTTCGTGTATTCGATCTGGAATCTTTATTCAAAGCTCGATTTCGATTAAATAAAGTATACGTATTTAAAGGTAAATGATTTAGGAAGGTTTTATAAATTTGTATTATATTCTATATATGATTTATAACCAGTCGAGGCTGTAGAAGTTCTCTGTGAGTCCTACAACTATTCTTACAGGACGATCCGTATCCCCTATAGTAGTGACGTGTTGAAACACTGATTAAAACGGGAACGGATGAGAGGATACGGTAACCGCAGCTACCTGACCGTATTGTTCTTTACTTTTACATAAGTTTCTGTTTGTAATTATTATCCCCTCGACAACAATCTCCTCCTCAATTATACTAAACTGCTCATTTTACGCTACAACACACGTAGATTCAGTATTTACATAAGCAGTTTGCTCTACGTTCACTTCCAGGAATCCTAGGTATTGTTACGCGGGCCTCTGCCCTATGTAAGAACTTGCCACTAAAGTGTGAATTGGTTTAGCTCGAGTTCAAAGCATCGTCTTGTAACCAACACCACTCTCAAAGTGGCGAACCCTCCAAAGCTTACAAACTTTTTCGAATAAAGTTGATTGCTTCGGATAACCCTCTTTGTGAGGGGAAATTAGATGGATCATCATTTAAAGCTAAGGGTCCTCCTTGATCGGCTAAAGTTCATTAGAATTGCACGTGCACTTCAGCGTGGGTGTTCCAAAGCCCGAAACCTGCTTATACCCGAACAGATTAGATGCTCATTTCCAAGCAATCCATGAAAGACGATTCTCAAGTTTCGCAAGTAAGAGCATTTCAAGTTATGGAAATCTTTCTCCCCATGTTCTGACCATGCTTATTGCTTAACTACCCGTAAAGTCTTCTGATGCCGGGAGGCTCGAACGACAAACTTCATCGACTTGGTAATTAAAAAGATGGTTTATCGAGAACACCGTTTCTCCTTGAGACCCTCAACAGTTAATTCAATTACGGGTGTCTTTATTGACGAAGATCCACCCTGATTCTGTCCGGGGTACGTTGTAAGCCGGGAGGGCTGTTTTCTTAGCATTGTCGCCATGTTTTCGGATTCGCTCACTGGAAAGCCACAATACCCCCCAGCACTGCGGTGGAGGGCGGAGTGTTGATGCGTGGAGTCCTCAAGGGCCTGTCTAAACCCTCCAGTGACTTTGATAACTGGTCTTAAAGAGGGTGATTGAGGGTGGATTGTACCCAGAGGCATTCTGTCTCAATTATGGTAAACAAGGCTATTATAATAAACAAAAGATGAATGAGTGCTTAAGTGTATTCCAGACCTGTGTTTCATTACGGAGAGATAACACTCTCTGGTGGTCGCGGGAACAACAACATTGTCTCGGCTGTGCTATAACTATTGCCTTTAATCGAAATACATGCTCATTTGTAAAAAATTATAGATTTTTTTATTTTAATAAAAAAATTAAAAATCCTTTAATGGCATTTTCCATAAAAGATGTTTCAATTTGTGTGCAATCTGAAACACAAATTGAAAAATTGTTATCTGAAGGTTATCCGAAACTCATTTTTTGTTGTTGTAATTTTATGTTTAGTACTTGTTTACTTATTGATTTCATTGCACCCAAGAACTGATCGTCATGGCAAGGGCGGATCCAGTCTTTTATAAAAGGGAGGGGTCCAAAATATCCAAATCCGCTCTCAGTCAATTTTACTGCCTACAACATACTGCATTTGGTTTTTAAAAGGGGGTGGGGTGGTCCAGGCCCCCTGGGCCCCCACTCAGCCTCCCCATCTCTAGATCCGACAATGTCACGGTGTCAGCGTACGTTCGCCAGTGTATTGATTAGACACGTGGTTTTACCACCTCACTACATGGAAACAATAAATCGGAATTTATCAAAATGTCTACATTTACCAAGACATGATCATTGTTCATATGTCAGGATAAACACTTGACTATTTATATCAATAAATAATTGAAAATTGTTTTGTCCATTTTATTCCAGATATAATGTTGGGGCATTTCCACAATAATGATATGCCTGCCAAACACTGTAACAAGCATAGTAATTAAATTAATATTACGTTTGTTATTAGGGAGTCACATGTCTGCTATGCAATGAACGTGATGAAACAGGTAAAATAGATTGTTAACGGTAAAATATGGTAATTTAGAATTATTTTTACAAGAATGTACAAAAGATTATAAACATGATCAAAACGTTACTAGGCTGAAAATAGTAGCCGTAACTCTGCAAACTTAAGGACCAAAACACAACTATGATACCTATATCAAATACATCACCATCGAATAACCTTTTATTGTTTCATTTTAGCCACCATCAAACATGAATGTATACTTTCTCCTGCCCGGCAGTATATTTTACCATTCTATAATAACATGGAGCTATCCACATGTAATACATAGGAGCGTCGACCTAGGGAACGCGCGTCTGTTAATATATAGCCTTCCAAATTCTGACAAAAAACAATTTGTGGTTTCTTAATGACCTACTCCGCTATTTTATACTGCATTGCAAATATCATATTCACAAATTCCAAGTAATAAAAAATATTGAAATCGAAATCTCGTTGTACGTTGTATTCCGCAAGCATTTAATAACCAAAGAGCTCACTGATTTCTTTTCTATCAAAAATGTACAAAAATATATCACCTCTATTATCTCAATCTCAAATAATATTTAAAAATATGATTTTTCCTGCAGGTATGCAATATTACAAAGGGAACGGAAAAATATATGTAATTGTTCGTCTTCGTGAAGGAAGAACCGCTATCAAGACTTAAAGCATCTGACACACTGGGACAAGATATCGAGGGCGGGCTTTAGAGACAACAGATTTACTTGAACATATCCGGCATTACATCCAGTGTTTCCGCTTAATGGTGAACAACCTGTGACCTGTATAATTACTCTGTTGGTTAAATATTCCGTGTAAAGTTGTTAATGACTTCGTTATAGCTCAGGGCTGCTGGCAACATTTGGTCGGGTAGAAATAATTACGGATAATTATACAAGGCCATGCTAACACTATCTTGTCTATTACAATGCTGGTGCCATGTACTACTGGTATAAGGGGGCAATCTCTTATCATAGTGTCACGTGCGACCTCAATTAAGGAATTACTTTTCGGGTCAGATGTGTGTGTTTGTTCTTGGAATAAATCTGACATCCTTTCAACATAATTCGAAGAAATCAGCTAAAAAAGGGGAAATGAGCAAATTCAAGATATGGAAACTTGATATAGTTATTTGTATGTGTAATGTCATGATCTGTATTGGTAAACAATATTCTAAAATACCTCAGAATAAACAATAAAATTATTTTTTAAACAGCTTCACTATTCGGCCTTTTACCAACCACAGTGACATCCAATCATTAGTTATATATATCCAGTAAAATACAGACTACACTTACAAACAGTTATACAGTAAATTCCTGTGTTGTGCATGCATGGATACATTTTAAAAGTCAGGATTATACAAGCGTCGATTCACACACGTATATATTCAATTTTATTTACATTGTTGAAAATATTCCTGCTTTAGATAATTAAAGCATTAGAAGAAATAATGTGCATTTTAAATCTGTAGATTGAGATTTTGTATGTAGATTTTTTAACTCAGATTCTACTGTTGCATGAAAAAATCCTACGGGATAAGAAAGTTTTAGTTATCTTATCTTATTATTTATAATTATTTTGTACAAGTCTGAGTTGCAGTTTACATTATATTATATATAAACGTTAGATATGTGTAACTTCCATAAAATGTATTCATGATTATTTCTGGAATTATATAACATACAGCCATGGGATATTTTCCTCAATTCAAAATAAGATAATTCGTATCGGTCGCCATAAACATTTTAACTGCAATTGTGGTCCATTTCTTCTAATACCGTCTCAGACATATTTACATGTTTTACATGAATTCCCCGCGCTGCGCGTGAAAGGCTTGTTTACCCGCAAACGGCGACAGTTAGGTGTTGCTAATTGCTCGATGTGTTTCTAGGAGATTGAGGGTTATCTGTAATAGGATGTTTTCTTGTAAGACGGTGATCTGCGCTGGCCGTTACTTCACGCCAATGCGGGGATTTTAGCGATTTCTTTTGTGTCCTTTACTTGTTTCATTTCCTCATTCTTTTGTTGTTCTTTCAATAACTCTTCACCCTCAGTTTTCTCTCAGCGCTGGCTGCAATTGGATCGCGACAGTAGAACGTCTTAGGCTAGGCCCTGCGCTCTGATTGGTCAATTGAACTGCGGGTCAGAGGGGATGTTATTGCAGATCTTCACAATAAGTGCCGCCTCCCCTATGGTTTATAAACTACCGCAGAACGCTAGCTGTTTATATCACTCTTGGCTTTCTACAAGGAAGGACCTGCCTGGGAGTTAAAAACATTGCACACTTGAAGTTAATTGTATTTGAAGAAACGAATTTATCACAAGATTCCTTCGATTCTTGGATTTATTTCGTGGACATTTACTGCCGTGGCATTTCTTTGCTGTTTTCTCCGATTAACAAATTGGACCTTTTGATCTAAAATTTGGAATTAATTTTAATCAAAACTTGAAAATGCAGGCTGGAGCTTACGCTGAGAATGGTATGTCACCATATCTACTTTGGCCCTACATGCAAATGTACCCTGCGCAGAAGCAGGAAGACTGGTCGCTCCACCCCGCCTTCATGCAGACCCTACCTACCTGCCAAGTGTACTGTCGACCCCAGGGGACATTTAAGGGCTCCCCAAAGTCTGCTGCGTTCACCATAGATGCTATTTTGAGTGGGGACGGGAAATCTCCGGAACGTGCACTGGATAACAAGCCTTACCCCACGGGATGTGACACCACCCCCAGACAGAGGTACACGGAGCCTGGGTACACCAGCCGCCGACACCAGCGTCTCCAGGCCTCCAACCCCTACCCCGGGCACCGTCAGGCACACAGCCCCACCCTCAGCGATGACAAGGAGAGCCCCAACCAGAAAGGTATGTTGAACATTTTATCATTGTAGAGGAAATCAAGGTGTCAAAAGAAATCTGAAAATCAACTCGAGGAAGGTAGAATTTTGTGTTCATTTTATTCATTAAAAAAACTATGGTGAACGAGCGAAAATTGAAATATATTGTTTTCTATTTTTTTTATTCGGAAGGAACTTTTATTTAACCCTTTTATTATTTCGATATCATTGTTTAATAACGGTAATGCGCTTTAAATTACCATCTCAATATTTTAGGCACATTACGAATTTGTTTTCGGATTATACAACGAAATATGGCAATGCAAAATTACTTTAAAATATTTATGTATTATAAAAAATAACCGTGTTAATCCTGTATCACACAAAAATAATGCAAGCAATATTTATTTCTTTTAACAAGATAGCAGAGCCTGTTTGATTTAATTAAATATACACTTGTATTCCATTTTGGCTACATCAGGCAATTCATTTCACCAATACAATATTTTCCATTTACTTGATTCATCATATTCTAAATGCGAAAATGAAAGATATCGCAATATGATTGAAATTATGAACAATTACTGTATAAATATGTTTCTTATTTTCAGACAAAACAGAGAGGAAATCTTCAGGCAAGGGAAAGCGTGTCCGCACAATCTTCACTCCGGAACAGCTGGAAAGGCTAGAGGAAGAGTTTGAGCGGCAACAGTATATGGTGGGCACTGAGAGGTAAGCATCATAATTTTGTATTTTACTTCGCGAAACAATTTTTTTTCTTCATATTTTTATTTATATGCCTCATATTAGACTTTGATGTTTGAACAAAGCTCTCGTTTTTCCACTTTTCTAAAATTCTTAAATTCATGGTGTATTTTAGTTTTGAGAGACTAAAATTAAAATAAAGAATTTGTAGCATTTCTTTTTATTATTTTCAGTTCAAATAACTGGCATGCATATTTATTGATACAAGTACATGAAAACTTCTCTGTTTATATATTTTACATTCATATACAAACTAAAAGACAATTCTATAACGATATGATTTATGTTTTTCAGATATTACTTGGCCGCATCGCTCAACTTGACGGAAGCTCAAGTCAAAGTGTGGTTCCAAAACCGAAGAATCAAATGGCGCAAGCAGAATTTTGAGCAACAGCAAGCAAAACTCGCCACACTAGACATCTACCAAGGCGAAGAATCCGACTCTGAATCTGAGAGCGAAGAAGAAGACCACAAGAGAACGCCAACACACCGCACATCTTGAATACTTATGGACATCTACCTAATACGTGCTTTCAAGAGCAACGCCCCCTTGTGGGCCCATGGAAGATAACTCTTAATCACTCAAGGTGCATAACTCTCAGTCACTGATGACAACCTTGCACTGATAGATCGTGCTGGCCAAATCGTAGGCAAAATACGTGCAATTGTCAAAGCTAAATATGCGGAACTTTGCAAGGGAGCCATTTATTACCTTACCTTACAAACGGAGCGAGATTGAAAGGGTAAACCTGATTTTTTTCGTTATTCCGGTATTTGTGGTATAAAAGAGGAGAGAGAGAAAGCTTTGTTTCAACAGTGGTAAAATGTTTGTTGTGAATATCTGCTTTCTATGTATATTTGATTATTTATTGTTGAATATTGTTTTGGAATAAACCAAACCCGTTCGATCATAAAACTAGATTCTGTGTTATTATTACAAATTTATAAAGTAGCGCGTACGAGTTTTGATGTTTGGAAGCGTTTTTATATTAGCTCATAATGCATAAACGGTATAATGTATTTTTCTTGTTGAAAATGTACAAACATACAGAAATAGTATTTATATAAATATGCAGTTATTTTCAACACTGAGATATGCGCAATGCGATACATGGTAATTAGTTATTATTCAACTCTTTATCATTAGGCTTGTTTTCAGATGAAAACGTATGTGCGTTTCTTTCAATGTCCTCGTACCAAATGCTTTTTGAGCTTGATGTTTGATTTATCTTTTCTTCTGAATACAAAGTGTCGAAAATGTTTCGATTCCCTGTCATCGAATGTTCAGGAACAATAATTTCATCAAAAGATTTGTCCGTTGCAATTTCCTATTTTGACTATCACCATGTGTTCCCGGGAGTTTTTCAGGTGAACAATTGACTTGCCCTTGCATGTGTTTGTGACGGATGCCACCGGTGAGGAAGAATGCGTACACCCGTTATCATCACTATTTTATAGTGATTCATAAACACATGCTCGGGATATAGTCGGAATCGTACAATCGACAGAGATTACTTATGCTAAGGAGAGTGTTCTGCAGCTTTTAATAATAATTTCGCTCGGTCAAATACCACAAAAAGTCCACTCGTTTCGTAAAAATTGAATCTAACGAGAATGAGTGTAGTATTATCCATATATACTACGTGTTATTTTGTAAGAATTGACCTTTATTTCGACATTTCTTTGTAACCAGAGGCCAAACGGTTCCATGATCTAGCAAACTGAGCTGTTTGTAAATTCTTGAAAATATTATTGCATCGGTGGAATAAGAGGGGCGTTCTTTCGACTCAAGTGTAGAATAATTGTATTAAAATTTGAAAGAAAATGTTGATGTTACCCATCAATGTATACTTCATTTATCAATGGCTGGGTAGACTAGGTGCATGTGTGTGTGTGTGTCCCCAGTCGTGATATTGGGTTTTAATGTCGTTATATTCTACGCACTAACATTTTCATTAAGACGTCTCTAAGAACAGCGCTTATTGATCGTGACCCCAAGGGCTGGTGTACAACTTCTAGCTGTAGGTAAATTTATTGATGTTTTGTAAACGCTAGCCCGTTGTATGGTTTACAAATCATTTGACCTAAAATTCAATTAATGTGGTCGAATTTTCAGGTTAGTACTGCTACTAGTGAATGAAAAGAACAAAACGTTTTAACATGGCAACATACCAAAAGATAATTTATTGGATGTTTTGTTAGAATAAAGTTTTTAATGCATATTATTCGAACACCGGTGTTAAAATCTCGTGTGTTCTTCATTTCACACGAAACCTGAGTCAGCCAAAATCGAAATTGTCAAAAGGGATTTTTGTTTTTCTAATTTCAGTTTTTTTTGTCAGTCGGTTTCGTAAACCAATATAAGGCCTTATGAACTAAAATGTGTTTCATCGTTTCATATTAATATTATTCGCCCATGGTTTATGTGTTTCCGATTACTGTGTTCATTCATTTATAAGTAAACACAATGATAGCAAGTAGATTAGGGGAGATTTGAGAGAACATAAATTCGTGATTTGTCAATGAATTTATCTAAGAATCCGTTACTTCTTATACAAACACTGATTCTTCATAGGTTTTTCCAACTACTCTGTCCGGATTAACAAGGTTGCATTCTGTATCGACCGAAAATAAATTATGAACATGGAAAGGGGGCATAATAAGTATATACTCTATGGCACATTTTACAAAGATAATCGATTTCCACGTGTTTCTATTTGGTTTAAACTGGTTTAGGATTTTCTAGACTTTACCGTTATAATGCATGGTGTTGGTGAGATTAAGTTGATATCTCTCCCAATCTGTCCTACAAACATCCCAGTGTGCGAGGTGTGTCCGTGTGTCCGATCTGCAAATATTGGTCCTCAGACGCCAGACTGTCTGGAGAGGTGGCGGACAGTCTACAGACACAGTCACGCCGAACGCGGGAAGTTTGAAGCCTAACAACGCCTGATTGCACTTTGAAAAAAAATATAAATAATTTAAGATGAGGATTAAAGGGACAGCTGACTGCACGTATAGGGTAGGACCACGGATCTGAAGAGGATTATCCAGTGTTTAACTGTGCATGCAAGGGTTGTTCTAATACAGATTATCGTGTAGTAGCATGTAGTGTGGTGCTTGAGGCTTTAAAAACGGGGCCTTGGTTTCCAAGTCAAATTTTGAATTTTCTTTTTGTATCATTGTATACATTTGGAGAATGTACGAATACTTCTAACTGTCATGGAAAGGATATTATCACATTTCTGATACTACCCTCAACCACACGCTGGTAACGTAATTTCACAAAAGACATTTTATTAACACGATATTTATTGATATTTAGAAACCTGTAAGACACAATGTGTGTGAATATCACAAGGACAAAGGAGTTACAATGTGTCAAAAGTATAAAAAAAATATTCAATTCTGAGGAGCTCTTATCGGACATTGTAAAATAAGCATTTAACTATTACAGATACTGGCAGTTATTAAGATCAGCTAAACTGCCGGACAAAGTATACATCTATATTTGATGGTGGTTAAAAATGAAACATACGAGAAATGATTATTCGATGGTGATGTATGTATAGGTCTTTGAAAGGCATTTAGAAGTGATACACATAAGGAAGAGAATATATGGATGTCAACTTCTATATTATGAGGAACACGTTTCGGAGTAAATGCTTACTCCCTCATCAGGTGAATGAATGCAATGAGGCAGAGAGCATATATATTATGTACATGTGAGGACAACAAAATTAATAAGATAACAAAAGGTGGAAAATAACAAGGAAACCCAACAGATGATTGGCGCTGATAGGTGATCAGCAATAAACATTGGAAGCCAACACTTTACAGTAATTAGCGCTGAAGGTATGGAAGCCAGTACTTAAGTTATCATAGATAAGTAATAGGTAATGGACACTGAGCACACATGAGGCCGGGGGTAATTAGCACTGATGGGTGAAAGAATGGACATAGCAAAGGGCAAATGGGCTCCCATTGTCTATTGCTAATCACCTATCAGCGCCAATCATCTGTTGGCTTTCCTTGTTAGTTCCTCATAATAAAGAAGTTGACATGAATATATTCTCTTCCTGATGTATTTACAGTTTAATTCTGGCCCAGTAACGGTTGTAATTTTTTTGTCGAATACAAATTTCAAGTGCATTCTTTCTTTTGCCCGGCAGTTTATTAAGAGGGAACCAAGTGTTGACTTTTGGACATACCCTTTCCTTTTTGTAGGCTAAAACAAGAAACAATCACAATGTTTAAAAGGGGCTTGTATTTCAACAAAGAAGGCAAAACGGACTGCCAGTTTGACTTGAGGCCAATATAGGGATCTATACCGAAACGTCGCCATTACAATATAAAAAACGTTGTTATCCATAATGTTTCCTGTCTACTTTATCATCCGTCAACCTCCAAGAAATGTTATCAACAATTATACATCTTTCAGAGGTTGTACAATAACTTAATAATTGTACATCACCAGCTTTCTCGGCCTGAGATGCAATCAGTGTTAACGAGCTTAACTCTGCCCCCCTCTACGGTCTTTGTGTCTCCCAATCTGTCCTACAATCATCCCAGTGTCCGAGGTGTGTCCGTGTGTCCGATCTGCTAATATTGGTCCTCAGACGCCAGACTATCTGGAGAGGTGGCGGACAGTCCACAGACAGTCACGCCGAACTCGGGAAGTTTGAAGTTTGAAACAGCTGATTGCACTTAAAAAACAGGACGATTTAGATTATGGTTAATAGATAATCAGGTGTACATGAACGAGGTGAGCGGATCATCGTGTTGTTACCATTCTCAATTTTAACAGGAAAAACGCTGTTTTCATTCTGTTCAGTTGTAAGAATGTCGAATTAAGATATATTTCTACAAATCAAATTAAAGGCAACGGGTGTGGATAAGAGTGAAAGTCTCCTTTTCATGCACTCCTCACTCCAAAACAAAGTCATGTCTATCCGCCGTGCTGTATTTAGAATATTGTTTCCACAAACAAACAAACCCCGATTATGTTTTAATATACAAATTTAAAGTCAAAATGCCTGAACTACAAGTTGTCGGACTTCCATTTTGTGGAAGCTACGGCGACTGAGTGGGTTGGGTCGTTGACTTTGTGTGCTGGCGACTAGGTGCTCTCGTAATGGATATAGAACGCCAGGCTCGTTTAAACGCAAAAGTCTATATTTTATGTTGGTCGTGCACATGGTCAACACTCCTGGCTGTTTTGGTATATATGGACATTTGAGTATGGCGAAGGAAATGAAATCGAGCATAAGAAAAGTTAAACTAACGAACGAAACGAAATAAAAGACATCTGGGGTCAAAAGGCTTTCTGACAATATATAAGATAAAGCTGAAACATGGATAACAATCCTTGTCGTGTGATTATTGTGTGAAGTTCCTTACACATGTGCTACTGTACACTAGTGAATCTCACCATCTGTAAAATATAACAAGATGTTTTCATGACTGATATATTTGAGTAATCTAATGAAACGATCAAAAGAAAATCAATCACGAAATTTACCCCATGTATATTCGACAGCAAGTTTATTTTCAATTGTTACAAACACGTGTTTTATATGATAAATACTAAAGAAGAACATTAGCAAATTAATTGTAAAATAAACTCTTTCTTGTGTCCAATGATGTATAAAATTAAATTATCGTTTAAAGAAAATCACCAAAACACATTTTGGGCTTTGTGTTAGTTAGATTGGTGTAACAAGATTAGCTTTACATAGCTTTACGTTCTCCGCGAACTTGCAATCTGTACTTAAAACATCCCAGTGTCCGAGGTGTGTCCGTGTGTCCGATCTGCTAATATTGGTTCTCAGACGCCAGACTGTCTGGAGAGGTGGCGGACAGTCCACAGACAGTCACGCCGAACGCGGGAAGTTTGAAGTCTAACAACG